TGTGATAGGATTGCTTCTAGTGTGTGGGCAGACCGTGTGGCGCATTACGTCCGTGATGTCGCAGTGCCATGCGGATTTGCGCGGCCTTGGTGGAAAGTGCGTTTGCGCGGCGCCTTGCCACTGAGGAGCGCGAAACATGCTGGCGAAAGCGCGGCGTGTCGCTGGCGAGCGGGATGATGGGCGGTATCGTGTGAACAGCCCTCGGTGCACACCAAATCACCTAGGACCCCTGGGGGCCAACCCCATTTTAGCCTCCAAAGTGCTAATGAAATGGGGGGGTCCAAGATTTCAATATTTTCGCATCGTTTTCCATTTCCTGGGTAAATTGAGAGGTGCCAACATTTCAGACTCTAGAAATCTCTGTATCGAGATTCAGCTCGCGCACCTGATTTGCAAGGCCTGGTCCACTCTCAATCTGCTGCAATGTCAGCCCCCTAGATTTTATTTTTGCGCCTGCTTCTAACCCTTCTGATTTGTCATTGTCTGGTGCGACTCTGTACGTGAGAGGATTAGTTGCAGTCTCCATACGACTTGCAAGTGAAAAGTTAGTAGAAAACTTGGAGTTGGCTTGGGCAAGTGACCACTGTTCAACTGTGGAAGAATGTGGGCAAGAGCTAAGCAACAAAGTTCTACACTACTCTACACAGTTCTGCTAGTTACAACTGATTTCTCAAGAGCCCACTACTCAGGCTCAATTCTGATTAATGCCGCAGGCAGGAGAGTCAATGACCCTCTCTCTGACTTCTTTGTGGAAAAATCTCTCTGACTTCTTTGTGGAAAAATCTCTCTCTCTTTCTCTCACTCTCTCTCTCTCTGGCCCAATAACTGTCCAATATCAGTTTCCAAATAAAAATGGGGGGGTCCAACCCAACCTCTCTTGAAAATCCCTCTGATAAAAGGGGGTAGCCAACCTTAGATCCAAGTCGAGATAGACTCAGACTGATTTTATTTTTAACGTAGTTTTCTTGTCTGGACCAATTTTATTTTGGTGACCTTCAAAATCAGGTCGGCCCCCTGGCTAGGATCTCTCTCCTTCCAGGGGGCCAAGTAACCCCATCTTAGCCTCCATGGCCAGATCCCTCTCGTGTGATCGGATTGCTTCTAGTGTGTGGGCAGACCGTGTGGCGAATTACGTCCGT